GGGCGGGGCGGGCGGGCGGGGCGGAGCACCCCCGCCATGGCAGCTCTGCTGACCTGAGCAGGAGCAGTGCCGGGGCCCCTGCCGGCACAGCAAGCCCCCTCCTCGGCAAAACGCACCGGCAAAGCCCATCCTAAGGTGCTTCCCCCATCTCGCGGCGCTCGTGAGCGGGGGCACTTTGCAGCTCCATTGTTTGGCCCAAAAAGCAGTATTTTCACGTCCAGGTTCCTACTGCTGAGCACAGGAGCTTTGCCATAGGAAATGTCTAATTTTTTGTCTTCTGGCTGGGTCTGAGCATTGCAGAGATGCAGGACCCTGGCGCACTGGGGATCCCAGGGACCTGGCCCAGCCCCACCTCGCTCTCCTGATGATCCTCGGGGCTGCACCTCGCTCTCTGCTCAGCCGGGAACAGCAGACAGGCTCTCTCCACAGCAAACCCAGCTCCTGACTTCATTTGGAATCGCCACGTGCTGCTGTACCCAAAGCAGCACCCCGGGCCCCGTGGGACGCAGACGGTCCCCTGCAGACGCGGCTGATGCTCGGCCGTCACTTTGTGAAACAGAGGGTGAGGACAGGCTCCAGGCACTGCCCTGCAACCTCCCTGCGGTCTGCAGCGTCAGGCAGGGCTGCAAGCCCTGTCCAGGGCACAGAGAGAGTTTAAATCTGGTTCCTCAGCCTCAGAGGGACGTGCAGACTCCTCCTTGTCCTGTCCAGCTCTCGGCCACAGCAGAATTGTCCCCTCAGAGTCAGGTCCAGATCCTCTCTGGCTTTACCTCGGTCCTGCACCTCTGACACTTGAAGATAAAGGCATAAATCAAAGCAATTTCTGCTCAGCACAGAGGAACCCCCGTGCTCACCCTCGCTCCCGAGCAAGGCGCTGAGCCAGGAGGGCTTCAGGTCATGGGATTGGAGCAGACAGACGGAGGGATAAGCGCAGGACCAGGCTGCGTGCTCGAGACCCGTCACAGAGCCAGCGCTGTCTCCCATGGTGTCCCTGTCCCATGGAGGGGAAGCTCTGTCTTGGTTAGAAACTGGAACTGGGATGGGCTTCTCCTCCTCTTCCCGGCTCCGCCACCGCCCTCCCCGGGGCAAGCCCAGGCCCCGCACCAGCACGGCCTCAATCACTGCACTTCCAGGCTGAGGAGCAGGAGGAAATTGGGAGTGGATGAAGTCGTGAGGATCCCCGGGACATGCAGCCTGTGCCTTGCACCCTGGCTGGGCTCTCCTGCCCCGGCCTCCCCGGAGCTGCAGCCAGCAGAGTCAGACCCCCCAAGCCCTGGGGAACCGGGTAGCCCTGACCCACGTGTGGTTCTGGCAGGGACGATGCTGTCCGCGTTGAACCTGCACCTTCCCATGCTTCAGATCCATGTGCGCATCCTCCCAGCTTCACCAGACCATGAATATGGGGACCAGCCCCAGAAACACAAGTCCTGGTTCCTAGTGGATGCACAAAGGCCTGGGCTCGGTCAAAGCAAGGACCATTTATCTCTGCAGAAGCCAATTTGCCAGTTCCTAGAGGGTCCTGGTGGACGACAGGTTGACCATGAGCCAGCAGTGTGCCCTGGCTGCCAAGAAAGCTCATGGGATCCTGGGGTGCATCAAGAGGAGTGTGGCCAGCAGGTCGAGGGAGGTTCTCCTCCCCCTCTACACTGCCCTAGTGAGGCCCCATCTGCAGTGCTGTGTCCAGTGCTGGGCTCCCCAGTTCAAGAAAGATGAGGAGCTACTGGAGAGAGTCCAGAGGAGGGCTACGAGGATGAGGAGGGGACTGGAGCATCTCTCCTA